AAGCGTACATTGAAATTAGCATCACTTTTCTCATTTAACAAGGAAAATGCTCAATTCTGCTATTTTCGACCTCCTCATGTTAAATATTGGTGAAATGCGCTAATAATATTTTTGTGGTGAAATCCACTAATAGAAAACTCAACCCCTCCAAAAAGAGGAACGCTTTGACAATCGGCACACCCTGAACCTTCTTTATATTATACGTTCTCTGTTGCTCTCTTACTTCCAGTGAGAGAGGAGTTAAACACTTTATCTCTGCCCTAAACCCTGATTTAGAGCCGTTTTCACAGTGATAAGTTAACGATTGGTTGACTATTAGTCAATGTAGCCAACAGCTGTTTGTTAACTAAAGCAATGTTTTCCACAGTGCTTAGATATACAAATAAAATTTCGGGCTAAAAGTCTGGTAGCACCATAGAAAACATTGACATTACAGTTTTACAATTTATGTTTTTATTTCATTTCACAATTGGTGAAAATTGCAATTCAAATGGCGACGAAAAAGATTAATGTCAGTGAAAACGACGTACATTTATTACTTACTATAATAGAACAACATAAAAATGTGATAGAGTTCAAAAAAAGCGATACTTTTACGCTAGATGTGAAAAATAAAGCTGGGTTAAAAATTCAGGAGGAATATAACAGCAGAACCTCGTCGTCATTTCGCGATGAAAAAATGCTGCCTACCAAATATTACAACTTGAAAAAGGAATTAAAGAAAAAGGTAGCAGCCGAAAAAAGAAGTTGCATCGGGACAGGAGGAGGGCCGCCATTGAAAATTAGCACCAATGATATTGTTGTAATGTTAGCATCAATAATATGCTCGGAGCAGTTCGAAGGAATGGAATCTGTTTACGATTCCGATAACCCTTTTGTGCGAAACAAAACGGAGAATGTTATCGCTAGCATTGGTAAGAAATTAAATAATTATTCTGCTCTTGAATTGTGAGGTTTCATTGTCTATATTCATGCTGTTACTCAAATACCATCATTTAAATGTATTAATGGTTTTGCAGATAAGGCAGCAAATAATATCAGTGCTAAGCAATCTCAGGATGGAAGCGAGGAATTTGAAGACATCAAGAACACATCCAACACAGCTACTACTTCAAAAAATTGGAGTACATACACGCCTGCAGATTTAAAAGCTCCTAAATGTAAAAAACTTATAATCGACGAATCGCAAAGCAAAGAGGAAAATACATCATGGTCGAAGCTGGAAGCTGTTAAATCAACATGGATCGGAGAAAAATGCCGCGTAGAGATTGAAATATTAAAAGCTGAACATGAAAAGCGAGTAAAGATGTACGAGCAACATATAAAGCAATCTGAAGTGGAACACAAAATGCGTGTGAAAATTATGGAAGAGCAATTAAAGGAAATTCAATGGCGCAATCTTCAATTGGA